AAGTCGCCATAGCCAATTGAGAGTGAACTCGTATCTGAAAGCCATATCTCTGAGTTTTGAGTGGGCGCATGTCGCCAGTATGCTGCGTTGCTGTTTACATGCATGAAAAGTGTGTTTGAGAACGAGTCTGATTGCATTAAATATGATAAGAAAATAGAAGTAGGATGTTAATGATTGAGTTGTGGGATGGGGGTGAAGGTGGCAGGTTTGGGGGTGTTCTTGGGTGTGGCGAGGGAGAAATGATAACGTGGAGAGGGATGGAGTGGAAATGGCTATGAGCTGGAGTTTTTGGAGGGAGAGATGGTGTGGGAGAGATGAGTGAGGGACGCGTGGGTAGGAGGAAGGGGGGTTAGACAGGGTGATGAGTGACTAGGTGGAATGAGGGGGGGGAGAGGAGGGTAGAAAGGTTCGACTGGGATGAGGATCGGAGTGAGGGGACCGGTGGGGGAAGGGGGTCGGCGAGCGTTCAGTAGCTGGGCAGTGAGGCAGGGTGGCAGAATGAGGAGAGGGGAGGGGAAACTAGGGGGTCGGCAGTCGTGGGGTAAGAGGGTGGGGGTAGGGGGTGTGTGTGGGGTGATCGGGTCGTGAGATGAGGGATGGGATGATGTGTTGATGTTTCCTACTTAGCCCTCTTTGCAGCGAGCTTCTATTGGCCTTCGGATCGCTACGCATCGTGAAAACTCGACATCTATTGCTGTTTCTCTCTGCTTGAATGCTTGCTTTTTTGCTAATCCTCGCTTTGTCCTCTCGCAGTCTCTTGTGCTCCCGATTATAGGATGGAAAAATGTCGGCGATTCTTACCTTTGTTTCCTTGGGGGGAGCTGTTCACACCTTGTGGGACGAAATGATGAAGAACTTGGTTGTTTGTTGTTCCGACCTTTCTCCCGCAATGTGTGGATTTTGTTGTTGTCGTTTTCTTTGCCTCTCTCCTCCCATTTTTTTTTTTCTTTTTTTTTTTTGAGGAGTTGGTCACCTTTATTTCAAATAACAGAAGTTCAAAAGAGGCCGGGGACCTCACAATTCAACCTGGATGAACGTACTGGGGCGATTACCCAGCTTCGGCAGAACTGGAAACCGGGTCCAGTGCCCCATTTACTCACTCTGTTATCTCAAAGAAGCTTCTCAAAAAAATTTCCAATAAGCGCAGTAAAACAGTAGCAACCTAAAGCGATTTCAAATGCATTTCCGAGCGTGAAGCTCCAGAGCTGAGAAACCAGCTATCCCGATGGGATTGTAATCTTAAATGTCTAAATTGACAGCACCCTTAACCTCTCACCAATTCAAAATCCATGTTCGAAAAATCTGTAGCAAGCCTGCGAGTCCAGCCTATGCAGGTGGCCAGAAAAGGCAAAACCGCCATTTGAAATTATAATACCCTTGGTATGACTAAACCCTAATGAACAAAGCGAAATAACAGATTGTGAACTAGAGAGGAATCTAGTAAGTTCCAGAAAAGGATTCGCCCAACGAGTAGGTCAAGTAATTTCCACCAAAGGAAGATAGCACCAATACTGGCCCAACAGAGCAGCTAGTAGCCGTGGGGAGCCTGGGTTGCCGTGACGAGGTTTCCCACCTTGCACCCTTGGACCTCTGTAGGAACTGCCATCTTTCAGGCACCCTATATCTCAATGGGTACAACCCAAGTTTGCTCTCTTGACAGCTAAATGCTATTCAGTCGTGCCCTAGTAGGTCAGCAACGTTCCCAAAACTATTAGGTCTCCAATAGTTCCGTTGCCTTCAACGAACAACCCCCAACCTTCCACATTTACCAACCAAAACTAAAGCCGAGAATCCGCAGTGGAGATTCCTTGAAATAGCCTCTAGATTAGGTGAGATAAGGTGAGATAAACGTTACGAGCAATTTTTGGAATTGCTATGTTATATGAGGGCTCAGATATGGGAATAGGGATGAAGGGTTGCCTGAATCCAACCTTACAACCCGACGCAGAGTATGAGTAAAAATACTGCACTACACGAGGGTTTGCATATCAGAATAACAAAGAGAGAATGCACCAAACGAAACATACACCCAGATACGGAATACTAATGACTAAATACCATCAAGGTTGCCAGTGACACCAAAGCACATAGCAGGAAGTGCTTGAAAGAGGGGGAAATTAATTCCAAATATTATCGTGTACGACCGTCATGAAGTAAGCCGGTCATAAGGAGTATTTAGCAAAAATTATAGCTAGGTTAATGCACTCTAAATATTTCGTGCTAGAGAGTGGCTTGGTTAATGCTCAGCGCTCTTGATCCCAACGGAGACGCTCCCACCACCACCAGAGGAACTCCCACTCCCATTGATGGCCGCCGCCCGTCGAGCTTCAGGTCTTCATGCTCCCAATCAAGATAGTCAACAGTCGTTCTCACGTGCTCCTCCCAACACCAGTCCCACCACCACCGGCTGCCCACCCACTACCTCCAGAGGTGCCGCTGTTGGATGTGCCCGCTGTCCCGTACTAGACTCTCTCTCCCTTCGTCATGTTCACACTGCACTCGTTACTTGACTCTTGTAGATTGTCTGTTGTAGGAGGAACCGGAATTGTCCTGCTCCATGGTATTCCACAGGGAGACACAGCCCCTTGTCGGAGCAGAGGGCGATGGCCGAACCTAGGGATCGACGAAGAAGACATTGTTCCGCCTCACGCCCCGAATCCCACACCTCGCTGCCAACGCAGAGCGCTGCCGTCTCCGGACAGCGAGTGCGCCTGGTAACGCAGCGCTTCATCGGAGCGCCACCGGCTCCCTCCTCCCTTTTTAGTAAGTTCCACTCGACTCTCTTCTCCTTCTTTGCTCCTTGCTCATGTCCTTTCCTGAACTTAGTAATGTCCTCTTTCCCTTCCCCCTTCTTTCATCTGAGTGTGTCCCTTTTTCCGCCTCATACTCTCTCTTGTGTTCCAACCTACTTTGTCGGGATCTGGGGAGGCACGCCCAGGGACGTGGCTTCGCTTGACGAATAGTTCCCGATTCTTACCCGCTCTTCTAACAGCTACGGCTGTCACCGAGGAGGGAGGTATGCATGCTTGCGCACACAAAGTGAGATCTCCTTGGTGCGTGCAGCTGCTCAATTATGCTTTGCCCCTTTCCGAGAATAGGATGGCATCCTTCTTCTGTTCACTTCTTGATAAATCTGGACCTTTTCTCTCGTAATATTAGTCGTATCTTCCCCCTCCTCTCCTTTTTCCTTACTGCCTCCGTTGTTTTCCTCCTCCTTCGCTCTCTTGAATCCTACCTCCTCTCGCCTATCTCTGGGAAGCCACGCCCAAAGGCGTGGCGTGACGTGGTGACGAGTTTCCTGTTTCTTGCTCGCTTTCACCAATTTTTTTCGAATTCGCATTGAGGAGTTGTGTGCGCGTCCACGCACATTGCAAGTTTTTGGGGTGCGTGAAAAACTACCACGGTGCAGGGGCGAAAATTAGCACTGCAGTGGTAGCGCTAACCGGACTGGCGCTAACGCTTTTTGTCTCAACAGTTCCGTTCTTGATTTAGCCTCTGGAGCCTCACCTGATCGAAAAGGATTCTATTTTGAGAGATTGCTGCTATTTTCCCTTCTCCTGGCTGTTTTTTGCTAAATGCCTCAATGATCTTACGTTTATCTACTATGCTGTTCTCTATTCTTCCACACACTCTCTTCCAGCGCCCTCTATACTCTACCTCTATTATATTCAGGACTCCCTCCCATGCTTCTTGCACAGGCATCGGTGCACGGTCTATCGTCTCTTGGCATCCTCTCTTCCATATCGTCCACAACGTTGCTAGTGTGAGGACGTGAAAGAAAGGGGATTCATGATTGGGCCATGTGGGAGGGATGTGCAAGCCCAGTAGGAGTGATCTGATCGGTAGGAAGGGGGTTTGCCAGTGATTGCGTGCCAGAGTTCAGATGTGTTAGTTCAGAGTTGCTGAGGTTTTTGGCAATGCAGTGATCAATGACCCACGTCCTCTACGAGACCTTCCGAACAAATCGCACAGAGTTCCTGTAACATGGATCATGATTGTGCATTTCTTGTCTTATTCAGCCACTGAAAGCTTCTAATTTTGACTAGATTGTCAGCAAGAATTCCGGTCAGGTTAAAATTGTCTCCTATCTTTGGCCTATAATTTGGGTTATGGGGTACGATCTCATCCTTATTGTGTAGCCTAACTTGGTGGTATATTCCAAGATGTTAGTGTGTTTCTCTATTTTGAGCCAACCTCCAGATCTTCTATGTTGCGTTGTGGATTGTATATGCGGCGTTCTTGTGTTTCCACTACTCTCACCTTCCTTAGTGTTTGTTCCTCCCAGACTACTTCTCCTGCGGGATTCCCGCTTAGCAGGCTTGTTGAATCCCCTGGGTCCTCGATCGTGTTGATGTCCCAGATGAGCCAAAAGTTCTTGGTCCCTCTCTGGTTCGGAATTGGTAGGCTGTCTTTGGTGGGCATTCTGCAATTTCTGTAGCCCAGTCTCCTGCTTTCCACCTGCAGCCAGAGCCTGATCCAGTTTTTTGGGGTTGAGATTAAAATGTGGTTTAGATTCTCGTGTAGATTGTAGCAACCCTTTAGTTGTTCTCTCAGTTCCCCGACCATCTTCCATTGCAGTTTTGAGCTGTGCCAAAGATGTTTAATTGGCCGCACTCCTTTTTCTGCCCATGAGCCCCATCTTGAGTCTTTGGCTGTTAGGGTCCAAGGCTTTCCTTGGGCGTCCAAGAGCCACCGGTTACAGAAGATGGGTTGTCTGAGCACCTCTTCCTTGGCTGTAGGTTCCCGCACTTTAGCAGGTAAGATCACTCTTCATGTTGTCAACAGCTGTCACCAGAAATTGTTGTTGTCCTCTTCCTCCTGTCCTGGGACCGTTGCCTTGGTTGTGCTTGTCATAGCCCAGGATCTGACCATGATCCAAAACAGCCCCTGCATGTTGTCTGACATTTTGAACTTGGCTAATTTTTGTACCGTCCGCATGGCTAGTTGGGTCTATGGTAAGTTGTTGTACATAATTAGTTGAAGGATCCATTTGGACTGTAGGGCCTTAATCTGCGTTTCAGGATCTAGGACCCCTAAACCTCCCTTAGATTTCTTCAGGACAACATACTTCCAGGCCACCTTCGTTATGAAGTGTTTCTCGGATGGGTTCCCTGGCTGAAAGAAAAACGCCTTATTCTAAACTTGGCATACAATTATCCTACCTGCAGGTCCTAGGTTTGAATCTTGGCAGCACCAAAAAGACTCAAAACTTACAGGAAATTGGTACAGGTTACGGAGTCAAACCCTGCTGCCCCAACACGCTGTCTCCTCTTCATGAACCTGTTTTTTTAACCACACGTACAAGGATGATGATAGTGTGAATGCTGATGCAATGTTGTCAGACGAGAGCACTATTGCATACACAAGACAAAATTCTCCTCAAACACCTCTGCCGTTTCTCCGCAGTTTCTAGCCCTGTGGTGGTGTTCCTTTTGCCTCCACGTACAATGCTGGTGGGGTCTACAAGCAATTAGAAGTTAGAACGCTTTGCCTGTGAATGATTTGGCAATGTCATTAGTTATGACTCCGAAGAGCATGAAAGTTCACAGATATAAGCCCATATAGGTACAAAGTTACAAACCTTATTTATTTCCCTGCTTTTGTTTGTTTGTTTGTTTGTTTGTTTGTTTGTTTGTTTGTTTGTTTGTTTGTTTGTTGGATGCTTGGCTGATGTGCTTCTTTACTTTTTGAAATACTTGACTGATGTGCTTGTCTTCTTTCATATCCGCCACCGGTTGCCCCCTCGGCTCTCCCCTTACCCCCTGTGCCTGCCCGTGTGCTATTGGACTGGCAGATGATGACGAATCCATTTGGTGTGCTGATGAAGTCTGCCTTAGAGAGAAAATCGCATCTGCTGTTCGTGTCCTGTTTCTTCAAGTTGATATCGAATTGACGAGCCAGCTCCCGCGGGTCAATCATGACATGACAATCATTGGCGGATGCAGAGGCCGCAACTGCGAGATCAGTGGTGGAGATGAACTGCAAATATTTTTTATAGGATCTGGGGGTGCTCTGAAGCTAAAGGACCTCATTATTACCAGGGGGTCAAGCGAGGGTGATGGAGGTGCTGTTACTGTCGGCGATGCAGAGACAGCAGCAAATGGGGGTACAAAGGGTGCACGTTTTGCTGCCATTAACACGAAGTTCTATGGCAATCTTGCAAGGGTGAGTCGAGTGGGGCTGGCGATTGGTGGGGGGGGGGGGGGGGGGGGGTTGGCTCGAAACGAACACAAAAAGCGGCCTCAATGATTGTGGATCAATGACATATCTTAGAGCATATGCACGCTAGTGTGGCTACCATCTTCACCCGAATAGAACGCCCGGTCGTTGTAACTGTATTTGTGGCAACTTCCAGCGCAGATAGCTATAATGGCCGTGTGTTCTATTCGGGTGAAGAGGGCGGTCTTCATTGCGGCCAGACGCTTCCAGGAAAGTCCTACCTCCTCCACCTGAATAGAACGCCTCATCATTATAGCTGTCTTTGGGGCAACTTTCAGTCCAGATACAGTGATACTGACTGGGTGTGCTATTCGGGTGAAGGCGGTACTCTGAGTATGCCCTCAGTCAGCCAATGAGTTAGGAACTTGGGACATCAAGACCAGTAACTTAGGGGATACTCACACATACAGTTTTTTCAACCTTTTTCTCCAATACTCTTAAACCACTAGTACCTCCGAGTCTGTTTTTGCCGACCCTGAATTATAGTGCGCGCCGATTTGCCGAGCCTGTGTCCCGTGGTACCTTTCAACGTTGGGTTTTCAATTTATTTTTTTTGAACCGGTAACGTTTCCACTCCGGCCTCCGGTCTGGACCGACGAACGGACACACGGTTAGGGCGGGGTCCCTGTGGTTGGTGCTATGATGCGAGGCCAGAATTGCGGTATTTTTGTTTTTGTTTTTGTTTTTTTTTTCCTCCCTCTGAGGTCGCGTGTGTCGGTTAGCCGGCGACCAGTAGTGCGGATTCGATGGCGGTGGTCGTCCGCACGTGGGTTGACGGAGGTACGACGATGGTTGCCATCGTCAGCGGCGGCGCGTCCCGACCTCGGCTTTTGTGTGTGTGTGTGTGTGTGTGTGTGTGTGTGTGTGTGTGTGTGTGTGTGTGTGTGCTTGTGTAGAGAGAGAGAGAGAGAGAGAGAGAGAGAGAGAGAGAGAGAGAGAGAGAGAGAGAGAGAGAGAGA